TTTTTTGTTTGTTTCTTTATCTATTTATTTTAATGGCATCCAACCAGTTTTTGACTCAGTGAAGCTCAATGCTAAGTTTTTCCACACATTTCCCTGTATAGCTCAGCATGCGTAGGACACTGGATTATAGACGTTGTATTGAAAAAGGATTTTTTTTTTCCACGTGTATTTGGAATGAATACGTCGAGGCGTGTTTGTTCTAAAGGGAACTCAGATGTTATTTGGCTTTGACTACAGCAGAGGAGTTGGAACTAGATGATCTTTAAGGTCCATTCCAACCCAAACCATTCTATGATTCTGACTAAAACTGAAACATTCTCAAAATGCTTTTTGCCTTAGTGCTTTTTCTACTAACCACTAAAATGGAACTTGCATAGGAAAATAAATAGGGAAAATAGTAAATATCAGCATTCCTAAAAATTAATATCATACTAATATTATGTTATAATAAAAAAAAATCATCAAAACCATATGAATTGTCTGGGGTTTGTAGATTTGTCTGTCTTAACTGCTGCTGAGAATTCCTTTAAATCCATTGAGATAAGAATTACATATGCATACACATGTATATATATACATACACACCACACACACATATATACATCCAGGTATAGTGATGTTTAAACTTTTACAGTAGCAAAATAGAGCAATTTGGCCATACTGGAGATAAGGTTCAGACTAGCCTTTGCAATCTTAAAACATCATGGGATTCTGATATTTTTCACTCCTGTTTCTACTACAACTTCGTTATTGTTTCCATCCCTGGACCTGCACTAGAGGGTGAATTTGGGGTTTATAGCCAGGTAATGACGACAAAGCCTTTGTCTCATTTACACTCCCTTCCAGTAGCTTATGGTGTGGATTTTGTCATGGTATGCAAAGGATGTTCACGGCTCTGATACTGTTCCTTTCATTTCTTGACTGAACCCCCTGCAGTCCTTGCTGAGTTCAGTGAAACATGCCTGCGAAATCTTAACAAACGACCCAGAAGGAGGAGCAGCTCGCATTCCCTTCGAAACATTCTCATTCCTCTACTCCTATTTGGCCAGTATCGATGGAGAGATACCAGAGGAGGAAACTGAAGCATTCCTCCACAAAATTAAAGAACAAGCGTAAGTAAAAATCCGTGCATGGATTTTTAATGTATGGATCACCTTTGGGTCCTCCATAAACCTTTAATTTCAGGTCTATCTTCAGTTTGGGCATAGCCCTAATGACAGGAGTAAACGTGGAGTAAGGTTATACTGAAAGCGTACATAGTTGTTTTTTGTGAAGTGGTCAACATCGGGGTTTGAACTGTTAAATGATAAATTATTATTTATATATCTTTCTTTGAAATACTGAAGTCACTACCTGGTGGCATAATTTTCCCTGTAGGAAGCAATTAATTGGAGGTATGTATCATCTGCATATTACTGGTACTGGAACCAGCAGCGTCTTATGGGCTGCTCTTTGATTTAACATAGACGGTAAATCAGAGAGAGAAACTGGGAGTCCTCACCTGAAGTCTGAAGTTTTGGTCACATTTTCTCATTAATTACTTCTCCCTAGAAATTTTGTTGGGAAAATATTTAGCGTACACTTGGTCTTAAATGGTTTGGCTCTTCAATTTTTATAGTATTAGCTATGGCAAATTGTCCTCCCTGGAACGGTCTTAATGTTTGTTGCCTTCAGAAGGACAAAGACAGGACATAGTCCCACCTGAACAGCACCACATTGGGGTGGCTGGGTATGTTTCTAGTCCATTGTGTTTGTCTTTCTGCTTGCTCTGGGGTTGGCTTTGTAGTTTGGTGTTGGTCTTATCAGCAAGCCATGAACTGACACAGTTCTTCACAGCAGGAGATGTGCACGTTGAAGCTCAAGCAAAAACTCACTGCATGACTGTTTTGCTGTCAATGACAGCTGTGGTCAGCTCTTTCCTGTGCTGTTGTGTTGCTGGCTTGCTTTATCATGGAGAGGCAACCTCGTTCTCACCTCTTGACTTCATTGAGCAGTTAGCAAATGATGGTTTCCCCCGGTATTATTATAATATTCTTACAGGATTGGGTAGAGAATACCCTACTGATGATCGGTCCATTCGAAGTGCGCTGCCATTTTCTGACGTGCTGTCACCATCGTTGGTGCTCACAGGCACCTGCACTTCATGATGATCAACAGGGTATTTGCACAGTTTGGCGACCTTTTTCCTGAGCACACCAACACTATTCTGTTGCTTTAGGCAGATGGTTGATCATATTTTTATCACCTTTTACATAAGCAAAAACTTGAAATTCACAGGCTTGTGCTAACAGCTCTGCTAACTAGGTCTAACTCATGCTAACTGCTACAGGTGAAAACCTCATCTCTAACAGACTTGGATTGGTCATGTGAAGTCTTGTGCCCACAAAATTCAGTGTCAAAACCTTGTAACTTCTTAGCAGATGCAGGAAAGGATCCATCAAGTTACTGCATATATTCCTGCTAGAATTAGCATGAAATTAGCATTAGGAATGTATGAAAATGACAGGGTCTTCAATCCATTTCTCAGTGATAAACTCCCACTCATTTTATCCATAGTCACACATAGGTCACACAAAACACACTTTATTTTTAACCAATTTTAAAAGACCTGCAACAGGCTTGTCCTCTGAGTGCTGCCTAGGTGGCATGTTTGCAGACAGTTGCTGACTCTTCCTACCATCTATCTGGAATGGGTCTTTCTGTCAAAAATTGCTAACAGCTCCATGTACATGGGAGCTCAAAAATGCACAAGTACACAAATGAACTGGCTTGTTCTGTCATTAGTTACCCGACTGACAAATTTTAGTAAGAACTACTTTTTAATAATAGCAGTCTTGCTTGCTATTAACATAACCCTCAATTGTATCTTGCCTAACACACTAGGATTGACCATGTTAAAGTGTTATTCTAAAACATTTGGTTTATTCCTTTCCAGTGACCAGCAAACTGGCATGGTGCTGCTCAGAAACTTTCTCACCCAGCCCTCAACACTGTTTTGATCAAGCCTACTCTTCAGCACCAGGTGAGAGAGAAAATTAAAAAAAAAATATGTGCAAGAAAATAATTTGTGTTCAAAGGACTGTTATTTACACATTACAGTACAAGAAGATCCTCTTCTCTGGCACTTCCTTTTCTTTATCCCACTCTTGAAATCAGCCTTCAGTGGATGTTAATTGAATACATTAAGTATTGTAATTAGTACTTGTTTAAGTATTACAGGGTTGTACAGTTTTCCTGCCTCTGAAATGCTGATGGTCACACCTAGGGAGTGATACCTTCACTCATTTGTTTACATTGAATAATACGTATTTTGTTACAGATCCTCCTACCTAGACCTCGTAAGTGATTTTAAGAAAAGAAGTAAAACACAAAATGCAATTTAGAGAAGACTGGACAGCTATAATCGGTGCATTTACCGTTGCAGTGCAGGATAGCACTGACTTTTTTTGACTTTTACACAAATACAGCCTGTCTCTTGACTATCTTGTCTGACTGAACAAGCTCTATTAGACTCATAGTTTTACCAATCTTTGTTCAACATGAAGAACTCTGTGGCTGAGCTGGTAGAAGAAACATCAACATGAGAAAGGACGGCAATGGTTCCGTATTATTTTTCCTCTAACTGGGACCCTTTCAGAACTCAGATATCCTTTTCTCTTCTTAGATGGACTTTTCTAATTAAGAGTCTGTTATAAAATACGTCTTGTTTTGTGACAAGAAAAGCTACTGCATTTGTCAGATAGGTGAGGAATGCCTGACAGCGTTCAGTTTGGTTTTTAGTTAAACATCTGTAGTAGCCACAGAAGTTTAAATCCATCAGAACTAGTCTTAAGTATTTAGTGACAGATAAGCACATTCAACTGCAGAAACGATTGAGGCAAGAGACAGGATACTATTGGCTACAGTAAAACTGGAGAGATTCCATTGACAGAGAAGGCCAAAATCAGGAGCGTATGGAGTGGCCTCTGCTGGCAACTCGATCAAACAGAAGTATGCTAGGAAAGATGGATCTGCAACCTTGTTCTTTTCCAGTTGTCTACTTCACTGAAGCAAGAAGCTTGGCTGATGAAGACTGACCTTGCTGTAGTAGATTGTGTGAGGAATTAACAGGACTAGAAATTGATACCATAAAAATCTCACTGAAGTTAAGTGGAATCCTCCTGCCCACCCTTAATATGTACCTGCATGTCTTAAGTCATAGTGTTTTATCAGCCTCTATCACTGATATTTACATGTGAGTCTAGAGGATGGGAACTCCTAGTTATTTCTGGAAGGAAACGGCTACACACCTGGTGTTTGAAAATGGCAATCAGCAATATTACAAGTGACCTTGGTACCTCCTCACTAGTTTCTGTGGAGAGCTATATTCTCATCATCTTTGCCAGATGACATTGGTCCTAAATGTCTTTGAGCATGAGCTTGGGAACAGTAACTTTCCCGTTACTGTCCTTTTACCACTAACTGCAGCTGAAGATACTTTAGCCTGCTGGAGAACTCTGAAATCTGCCCTCACCTCTGGTACATGCTGTAACCAGGCATAAGCGCTGTCCTTCTGGAACACTGCTCCCAGAAGTGACAGTGTCAGGTGGGAGGGTAGGAGGGGCCTTTCTCATTTGTAATTGATCCTAGTCTCCAACGATTAGCTGTGTTCTATATCCACCTTTAGATACTAATTTGCCTTCCTGGTCCATAATTAGTATAGCTTTTCACAGATTTTTCATTCTTCACCCTTGTCAGACTAAACTCAAATAGACATTTGAGAGAGATCAATATAATTAATAGATGTGTTAGTGTTAACACATTTACACATTTTCTGATACATACTGCTTCCATCCTGACAAACCTTGACACTATTTCACTTCTGTCTCCAAGCACAGCTGTGATGCAACACCGATATTACGTATGCAGCGTTATCGTCCCTGGCACAACAGCAGTAACAATAGTTCCTGTGCAAGTAATTTTTTGAACAGCTGACAAACAAAAAAATCAGGTTCTTGTTTCTACTTTCTTCTTTTATGGCTGTGGTATTTGTCTTCATCCCTGAAAGTAAAACACAAACATTGTGTCTGCTGTTAGGCTCAGACTGACAAAATCTGAAGAAAAAAACCAAAACACAAAAACTTAGAAAATGGAAAGCTCTCATTAAATGCAATCATGTCCTCTTCTATGGAAAGAAAGCAAACTACTTTAAGACAGTTTATTTCCCTTGCTGCTTTAATCAAAGTCTTGTCATTCAGTGCTGTAGTGGCAATTAGTTTAGGATGAATGGCATCATTGTGTAACGAAGCCAATTTTGAGATAACTGCACTGTTTTGAAGCCTCTACCATGGCAAAGCTAGTCAAGTGATCCTATGTGTATACATATGGCTGAATATGAGCTGGCATAGAAGTGGCCAAGAAGGTCAATAGCATCCTGGCTTGTATCAGAAATAGTGTGGCCAGCAGGACCAGGAAAGCGATCATCCCCCTGTACTCTGCACTGGTGAGGTCACAGCTCAACTACTGTGTTCAGTTTTGGGCCCCTCACTACAAGAGAGGCACTGAGGTGCTGGAGCACATCCAAAGAAGGGCAGATAAGCTGCTGAAGGTCTGGAGCACAAGTCGTATGAGGAGTGGCTGAGGAAACGGATTGTTTAGCCTGGAGAAGAGAAGGCTCGGGGGAGTCCCAGTGCAAACTAGAGCAGAAAATAGCATTAGATATGACAAGCTGTACTGGTTTCAGCTGGGATAGAGGTAATTTTCTTTCTAGTAGCTGGTATAGCGTTCTGTTTTGGATTTAGTATGAGAATAATGTTGATAACACACTGGTGTTTTAGGGCTTGCTAAGTAGTGCTTATACTAAATCAAGGACTTTTCAGCTTCCCATGTGTTGTGGTTTTAACCCAGCACCACACAGCTGCTTGCTGACAAGTGGGACGAGGGAGAGAATCAGAGGGGTAAAGGTAAGGACACCTGTGGGTTAAGATAAGAACAATTTAATAATTTAAATAAATAAAATACACAATTATGATTAATAGTAATAATAATAGAATATGCAAATGAGCAATGCACAGTGCAATCACTCACCCACCTGCTGACCAATGCCCAGCCCATCCAGCGCTCCTGGAGGACAGAAACCTCGAAACCGCAGTCTCAGAAGACAGTGAGCAAGCTTCCCCCCAAACCTCATCTATACACTGAACATGATGTTGCATGATACAGAATATCCCATTGGCCAGTTCAGGTCCATTGCTCCAGCTGTCGTCTCTCCCATCTTGTTGTGCACCTGCACACTAGCAAAGCATGGAAAGTTGAAAAGTCCTTTATTTCTGATGTTTTTAGATGCTGCTAAGAGTATTATCAACATCATTCTCATACTAAATCCAAAATACAGCGCTATTCTAGCTATGAAGAAGAAAATTAATTCCATGCTGGCCAAAACCAGGACACTGTGCTCTACCAGTGCAGGAGGTGCACAACAAGCTGGGAGAGGGCACGGTCAGTTGTCCTGGCTCAAAATGGCCGAAGGTGTATTCTGTACCATATGATGCCATGCTCAGTATATAAACAGAGGGAAAGTTAACTAGGGGGCCGCTGCTTGGGAACTGGCTGGGCATCAGTCAGCAAGTGGTGAGCAATGACATTGTGCATCACTTGTTCTGTACATTCTGTTATTATTATTACTATTATTTTAGTTTTCCCTTTCTTTTCTGTCCTATTAAACTGTCTTTATCTCAACCCATGGATTTTACTTTTTCCCCTCAATTCTCTCCCTCATCCCACTGAGGCAGGGAGAGTGAGTGAATGGCTGTGTGGTGTTTAGCTGCCTGCTGAGTTAAACAACTTATTATTAAACGGCCTTTATCTCAACCCATGACTTTTCTCACTTCTACTCTTCTGATTCTCTCCCCCATCCCACCGAGCCGAGGGGGAGTGAGGGAGCGGCTGGGTGGTGCTTAGTTGCTGACTGGAGTTAAACCACGACACAAGCACATGTAATTGGTTAAACGGACATTTTCCCCCCTACGTGTGTGTTAACCAAGCAGTACAGCAGCCTGCGACAGTACTGTGCTGATCTTCTAGCGTGCTGTGGAAAGTGTCACCTTTCAGATGAGAGAGTAAATTCTGAAGTTTGGATCACAGTCTATGGTCTCGCAGCAAGCTCTGTTTAGTATCACTAGCCTTGTGCCACTGGCTTGTTACGCTGTATATGAGATTAGCCTAGCTTTTTAATCGGACTAGATATTCTAATTCCCTGCACTCATGTCTCACAGGCAATGGCTACGGCTGCCTGATTCAGAAGCAGGAGTCAGCTGTCTCTGTTTGTGCTCACCTCTCTCTTTTTCTCCGAGAATCTCTGTCCTTGCCTCTTTCGCGACTCCTTTTTCGTTTGTTTGGACTCCGGCTGGTGTCTCTCCTGTGCCTGGTGCGTTCGGTATCCTTACAGCTTCCTCCAGATTGCCGTGAGTCCACTGAAGCTGACCGCCTGTCTTCCCTTCTGAAAAAAAGGTTATCAATTTTATTCAATAAAACCAGTTTCACAGTCACTATTGTTTTCAGTACCGGTTTTGTAATATCATTACCTACTAACAGTGTAAGGCAGAGAATGTATCTTCTATTAAGCCTCTCTATCTCCCTAAGAAATGCACTACCTCCCGAAAGGGGCCCAAAGTCCATGCTCTTGTATGTGCACGTCTCAGCAGACTATTTAATCCAGTTATTTCTTACTAACGCTGTCCCTCAGTCTTACCACCTCTGCTCATGAAACAGGAGACAGCAGAAGGGGTTCCCTCTGTTTTGCTTTAAACCCCTCACTCTTCAACCACCTGCGTTAATCTGCTACCTGCAGTTGGAGAACCCAGCAAGGCTGATCTCCTGTACGGCCTTTTCATTCACTTTCATTTTAATGTTGAAAACAAACACTTTGAGTGTGACCTTTTAGTTTGTTTCAACGACATTCTGGAGTCCCCAACACAAGAAGGACATGGAGCTGCTGGAGCAAGTCCAGAGGAGGGCCGCAAAGATGATCCGAGGGCGGGAGCACCTCTGCTATGAAGACAGGCTGAGAGAGTTGGGGCTGTTCAGCCTGGAGAAGAGCAGGCTCCAGGGTGATCTTATAGTAGCCTTCCGGTACCTAAAGGGGGCCTACAGGAAAGCTGGAGAGGGACTTTTTACAAGGGCATGTAGTGACAGGACAAGGGGCAATGGCTTTAAATTGAAAGAGGACAGATTTAGATTAGATATAAGGAAGAAATTTTTCACTCAGAGGGTGGTGAGGCACTGGAACAGATTGCCCAGAGAAGTTGTAGATGCCCCATCCCTGGAAGTGTTCAAGGTCAAGTTGGATGAGGCTTTGGGCAACCTGGTGTAGTGGAGGGTTTCCCTGCCCATGGCAGGGGGGTTGGAACTAGATGATCTTTGAGGTCCCTTCCAACCCAAACCATTCTATGATTCTATGACATTTTCATCTCAAAGGTCTCCTGAAAAAGCACAAATAGACTATCACTAGGTCGTGATTACTTTTTTATTTCAGCCACAAATGTTCAGAAGAGTGTGCAGTGTTGCTTGACACAGGAAGAGATATGTATACATAAAACACGCTCCTAGGTAGCACAACAGCACTCACAATGGTAAGAACTGTAAAGGGTCCCCATATTTAGTAAGTTAAGAAAACCTTTTCTCTGAGGTATTTTATATTATATCTACCATAGCACTTCCTGTCATGTGGTGGGGAAGCTGAAGAAATTGTGTATTTGTATTTTCAAGCATCCTTCTGTCCCCAGCTATCACGTGTATATACATATGCACGGAGCACTACTCATTCCCCAGCTCCACCAGAAACTACCTGTTCACCTGGGTCACTTGTACCTTACCTCCTTACCCTTGAAAGAAAGTTGTTAATTCATTTTTCCCCATCCTTCATGCAGACAGAGCGTCTCAAGCAAGAGCTTAACAGAATTAGTATAAAATTAACTGTGCTATGTCTCAGCCAAAGTTGGTATATCATAGAATCATACAATGGTTTGGGTTGGAAGGGACCTTAAAGATCATCTAGTTCCAACCAGACACCTTCCACTACATCAGGTTGCTCAAAGCCTCATCCAGCCTGGCCTTGACCATCTCCAGGGATGAGGCAGCCACAACTTCTCCGGGCAACCTGTTCCTATTATGCCCTATTAGAAAGAGGTAACGGGATAACATTACAGGCTATCAGGCTGCTGACATCCCTGAGGAATTTCCCAACTCTGACATACCTTCCTGAAGATTTTGACTTCCCTCCTTCACATATCTCTGCATTATCTAACCTGTTCTCCTCCTGCCAGTGATTGCTGAGTTCTTCCATATGCACACCAATCACATCCCGAATCACCTGGAGATTAAGATACATTAAAAGCAAACAATAAGAAAAGCAGTATGTCATGATAGTGGCCTGAACTAGCAACTAGACAGCAGAAAGTCAACATCTTAAAAAAAAAAAAAAAAAATCCCCCCCAACCCCTATACATCAGATGTTTGAATGGAAAGTCTTATTTGCAGAAACAGGTATTTCAGCATAAATTTAAGTAGCACTATTTTACTATAGACAGCCAACTATATCTTGCTGGCATTTTCACATTCAAAAGTCAGAAATGCTTCTGTTATTTGTAACTTCCTGCAATGAACCAAGAAAGATTCCTCTATAGTTTGCAACTCTAATAAGGCAGGGTACAAGCAGCAGAAAGAGAGAGACGTTCTCTTTGTCTGAAAGGGTATATAATTGTTTATGCTGATAGACAATAAGAGCTATTGTGCAAGAAAGTCTTTTCAGATACTCACCTCAGTGTAAGACTTCTTTGTTATATGAACATTTTTAGCCCTGTATGACTGCCGCCGCCTTTTGTAGTCTCGCATTTCAGCCAGAATTTCAAGATGGGACTTTGGACCTTTCTGACTATCATCTAGCAAAAAATTGGAAGTAAAACAAACAGTCATCAGCAGGACACTAGCACCTGCAGGTATGCAAGTCAGGTGCTTTAGTAATAAAAGCTTGGAATATAAAATACATTGCGTTTTTTCTGAATTCTCCACAATATTTAGTAACTATTATGAGTTTAGCACAAGCTTCCTCTCCAGCCTTCTTGCTAGCTATTTACACAAGACTAAAAAGCCACCGAGCAAATGTTGTTATGTGACCTCAGTCTCCTAACAGCGATCCAAACCAACAGACAGGCTTACGATTTGGTCAAACACCTACAAAACACAGGCCATGTTTTCAAAGACAGAATTACAATAAGACACAGAGATTGAAAAAGCCAGATTCTGTAGAACATTTACTTGTGTAGATGACAAACACCATCTCCTACCTCCTAGGCACAGCAGGGCCCACAGGATAACACAGATGCTTATGCTGCACTTGCCATAGTTACAAACCGGCATGACTCAACAGGGATGAGGCCTTGGCCCATTACACCCATTTGAATATTGCTCAAGAGCTCTACCAGACGACTGCCAAACTTCCTTGTTCGGCTTTTACTCTTAAGCTATCTTGAATCTCATTATCTCTTACGGAAAAACACTGTTCCAAGCTGTGCAGTAAGTTGGCAACGTTAAGCAGCTTGAAGTCAGTTGCAGCGAAGGCAAAGGTCCATCCACTAAAATACACACAATGCGTGTGCCAAGAGCAGAGCGCTGAGGCTTTCCCAGAAGTAAAACAACATAAAAGATACCAAACTAGTGTTCTAATGCCAGGTCTTCATTGTGGCTTTTGAGAACAGTATGCTTTCCACAGTAAAAATTGCACAAGCAATTCTGTTTGTCTTTCAACAAAATTCATGTAACTACACAAAGTGAAAGTTCTGAGCAATAAATGCAACAATAGACCGTTCTTCAAACCTTGGGTGATTTTTGCTGCTAAATCCACAAAGAGGTCACTGTCATTCTCTGTGATTTGGGATCTAGACCTCTGTTTCTTTGTTTCCTCAACAACATAATCATAAAGAGCAAGGCGATCAGCTTGAGTCAGGTCACAGGTGAAACGCTTGTGATTTTGAGGAACTTCTACAGGCAGTAATGAGTAGGATCCTGGAGGTTGAACAGACAGCTGTTATTAGAAAAACAGCATAATTATACAGGCTAACACGGAGAAGCTCAACAAACAAGCAGTGCAGTAAACACCCATGCTGTTTTCATCCTTCCTCTACTTACCTGTAAGAAATTTCATCCTTCTTAATTTGAAAGGATAAAAATTGTTCAAAGGAAAAAAGGGGCAAATCCCTCTCCAGCCCCACGCAGGCTGCATAACCCCTCTTGACTGCTTATGCTGTTAGTTACAGGTTTTTACATGCTTTGAAGGGATCGTACCAGATTGGACACTCTGTATTGTCCCATCCATTTCAGCTCTCAACTTACAAGCTAAACCAAGAGAGAGGAAGCTGTAGCTCTAACTTGTGGGTTTGTCTTACTCCTAAAACTTTCTGTAAAGTACTAGCTGCAAAATACCCGTTGTTCTGCCAACAAGAATGAAAGGTTCTAGGACACTAGATAACTGGGCACTGTGCAAATCAGTCTCACGCACACTGTCACTTTCTCTACAGAGCTTTTTAACAGACTGCCACAAGCATTGGCAGCTAAAAGGGCTACAAAGGCACTTTCAAGATGCTCCAGATTAGTTCAGATAACTAACTTCAAAGTTACGAAAACACACACTCTTCTTTCCCTTAATGATCACTCTTCCCATTCCCCAGTTAAAACACACATCCTCCAAACAAACAATAAATCCATTCTCAATCCATTGCAACAACAGCAAAGTGACTTCCCTGAATACACAGGATGCAGTATTCTAGGATACTGCCTGCAGAAAAGCATTTTACTTGAGAAAACTCAAATTCCCTGTAGCCATTGACTCCATAATCCCACTCCCCGCAACCCAACCTTCTCCCTGCAAAGCACGATCCCACACAGACGCGCATCTCCAGGCAGACAGAAGAGCCAACACGTGGGACAGGGCGTATGAAGGAGCCTTCCCAACAGCAAAGCTACTGCTTCTCTAGAGTGCTCAGCACCTGGCAGTAGCTGGGCGACCTTTCACGTCCGGCTGTCGCTACAGACACCAAAGAGGAAGGGCAGCCACAGTAACTCTGCAACAACAAGCCTAAGACACAAGGTTTCCTCATTACTGTACTTGGAGTCTAAACCAGAATTTTTCTAATCTGAACTAACAGATTTAAACACAAACACTAGAACTTTCTTTTTAAAACGCACTGTTCTTACAGGGCCACAGAAGCCCATAAAAGTGCCATAACAGTTACATCATTTTACATGAATTTCACAACTTGTGATTATGGCCGGCTTTCCCGTCCTATTATAGCTATTCTAACATTCTAAACGTGGTTAGAATTTTCTAAAAGTAAATAAAGAAAATTACTTTCTTTCATACAGTTAGTCAAAAGGAAATTTGCAATGAAAAATGCTTTCCATTTGTTTCTTTGTCAAGAAACAATTTATTTGAAATTGTTTAATTTCAAGTCAGTAAATCTTAGAATAGCACAAGATGCCAGAATGAAAGCCACCCCAACACAGTTTCAGTGTTATCTCCAGAGAAATGCAAACTTGCAATGAAAACTGGATAGCAAACACTGGCATCTGGTGGCTCATTGATGTATCGTTACGATGCACCACTTGATAAATCTGTTTCTTCTCTACTTGGATATGCTTGTGTCAAATTAACGAGTTACCACTTTCCTCCAGAGAAAACGCACCCAACATGCGCCAAACACAGTGCCCATCACATCAAAGCTCCTTCCCAAGCAACTGACTGTTAAGGCTCCATTTGCTATGCCAGAGAAAAAAAGACAACATGGAAAAACTATGCCAAGCAACCGCTGCTGTACTTGACTGTCAGGAAAGTAGAACAAACGTACTTTTCCTTCTGCACACGTATGTTTACCAAACTAAAGGACTACAGACAGTAGATGCTGTATCTTCCAGGTGCTGCAGTACTTTCCAAACCATGTGCTGCAGCCCTACAATGGCTTCAAGAGGTAGCCCTACTTTTCTACTCGGTCTTGGTCTGAACCACAGGACCATAGCTCAGTCTTAGCCTGGTCCCCAGGCTGGTCACAAAACCCACTGAAAAATGAAACATAAAGGAACTAATGAGCTGAGAGCAGCAGCAAAGGACAACATCATATTTGCAAATATGTCAGCGTATTTTGTATACAACTTCTTAGGACAGTCTTGAAACAATCCAACATAATAATATACATGTTGTTTGGTTTTTGATCTGAGGAGTGGTGGACAAGCACAAACAGCTCATGTCTAGCAAACAATCCTTAAACAAAACACTACATGAAGAAATATTACATGAAGAACAAGGCTGGAGGCAGCATTAGAAGGGTCTGGGCCACAAAGAGCAGAAGGATAACATCGGAAAATGCAGGCAGAAAGCAAAGTGCAGGCAGTGGGATGGGAAGGACTTTAAGAAACTGCTGAATTTTGCAGTGTTCATTTTCCAGTCCTGAAGAGAACTAGAGGTGTGAGCACAATAGACTCAAATTCTCTTATCTAGTTGCTCCAAGTAGAGAAAGCAGTTATTCTCCAAAATATACAAGGGAAAGAATACTAAAAATAAATCAAAATAATTCCTTACAGCAGTTCACAAGTAGAATGAAGGAAGCTGCGAGGGAGGGAGACAAGAGCAGCTCATAGAAGAGCTGATAAAGTTGTTTCAGTGTCTGCTTGCTACTTACCTTCGCTGTAGCCTGCACCTTCTTTTGCACTTTGAGCTCTAGCTTGCTTAACAATGTGAAACTGTAGATCTTTATCTGCAGACAGAGAAGACAAAAAATATCACAGAACTTTTACATCAAGTACTTGGCAGGGTTACTCTTTATTCCTCAACTTCTATTATGAGACTTACAGTATGTTACAGAACATTGTAATCTTATTTATGCATAAGGGAGAGTGACCTAAAAAAAATACCATTTCCATCTATTCCATATTTGAACTGAGGAGAGGGGAAAAAAAAAAGAATTTCCAGGTTACAGGGAAATGGAAAAAGAAATGTATGTATATTGCAATTCTCTTCTGTACCGTTACTATATCCCCAAACTCTAGGGCCAGTTTTTCCACCTTATAAGCATATGTTTTAATACACTTTCAGCACTTGATACAAGGTGAACATTGGAAGAACCTGGAAAATAACCTAAGAGGGGAAAGAAAAAGACCCTCCTCAGATTTTACAATAAAAACAGCCAAGTGACCTACGGAACAGAATGACACAGTGACAGATGCATACGGATGGTAAATTAAGGTCAAGTACAATGGTGAGGAAACAAACCTACTTACAGAAACAGCCAGTTTTCCCAAGAGACCTCAGAGAGTTTACGGCTGCCGAGGCAGC